AGAATAGAATAGAATAGAATAGAATAGAATAGAACAGAACAGAACAGAACAGAAAGAACAGAGCCTGAAGGGACCCTGTAGGTCTTCTATTCTTGCCCCCTGCTCAAGCAGGAGAACATATACCGCCTCAGACAAACGACTGTCCAATCTCTTCTTAAAAACCTCCAGTGATGGAGCCACCCGCAACTTCTGGAGATCTTCCAAGATCTCCAGCTGGCGACTTCTCACCCGCCTCTTCTCCCCCGTTCTCTCGACAGGTGATCTCCTGGGTGTCCTTCACCGGAACCCTCACCTACGTCAAGGTGATGCTAGGGGTGATGCTTCGCAGCTGCAGCCACAGCGCCCTGGTCTGGTACGGCACGGTGGAGCAGCTGGGGTCTCTGCTAGGAGCTCTGCTGATGTTCCCCTTGGTGAATGTCTACCACTTCTTTCAGTCCGCTGACTTCTGCAGCTTCCAGTGCCCAGCGTGACGTGCCAGGATCCGAGCAGAGAATCTACCAAGCATGCCAACCTCTTGCGTTATGGGAAACGTCTCCCAGAAATAGTCCCCCCCCCCAAAAAAAAGTCACCCCTCTTTTTGGACCAAAAGACGGCAAGGGGTTAGCAAGCCAAGGAGGATGTCTATGAAGGACCACATCTTCAGAGTCAACAGTAGGCGAGGCGGCAAAGTGAACACACTCTTGAGTTTTTACTCAACCCCTATTCAGATTTTGGGGGGTCCTTAAAGTAGGGCGGAGGCAGCTCGGTCGAGAAAAATCGGGGTGAGCATTCCGACGACTGCAGAACTTGCAACTTTGCTGCCATCTTCTCTTTGCCTGGCACCCTAGATCACACAGCCATGCTTAAGAATAAACCACCTTTCACTGGATGAGAAGAAATGGTCCATGAAGCTACCTTCTTGAGTTGGAATCAGAGCTTGCATTCAGCCGGTTCGCACCGGTTCATACGAAACGGTCGTGACCAATTTACCCAAGGTCGGAGAACCGGTTGTGAAAATTTTTGAAACCCGCTGCTGGTTGGAACGTCTTTGTAAGAGGGTAGTTGCATTTCCTGTACTGTTGGTCCTCAGCGTACGGCCACGGTTGAGCCCAACGTTTCTGTTGCTAAATGAGGCAGTCCGACATGAAATAGGTTCTCCCGCTCGAGCAGGGGGTTGGACTAGAAGACCTCTTTCCGACTTTCTTATTCAGTCTCCTGTGTTCTAAAATGAGAAATGGTGAATAAACCTGAAACAAGGTAGGGTTTAAACTTTAAACCAAGGGTGTCCAAACTTGGGAACTTTCCGACTTGTGGACTTCAACTCCCAGAATTCCCCAGCCATGGAGGATTTCACCCCTGAATGTGGGGGCTTCCGTTGAGGACCTCTGTGGCTCTTTGATTTGATTTGATTTGATTAAGTTTGTATGCCGCCCTATTCCCGAGAGACTCAGGGTGGCTAACAATAAAAAGGGAAGGGGATACAAAAAAATAAAATAAAAAACAGCAATTTAAAATTCAACAACAGTCGTAACCTCGAATGGGGCTGGATAGTTCAACAGCCCCAGGCCTGCCGGAACAGCCAGGTCTTAACTGCTTTGCAGAAGGCCGGAAGGGTAGTAAGGGTCCGGATCTCCACGGGGAGATCATTCCAGAGGGCCGGAGCAGCCACAGAGAAGGCCCTCCCCCGAGGAGTCGCCAGCCGACATTGCCTGGCAGATGGAATTCGGAGGAGGCCTAGTCTGTGGAATCTGATAGGTCTTTGGGAGGTGACTGGCAGGAGGCAGTCTCTCAAGTACCCAGGTCCGATACCATGTAGGGCTTTAAAAGTAACGACTAGCACCTTGAAGCATGTCCGGAGACCAATGGGCAGTCAGTGCAGCTCGCGGAGGGTAGGTGTAACGTGGGTGTACCGAGGTGCACCCACAATTTCAGCTATTTTTAAGTTTAAAAATAGTTTTAAGGCTGCCGACCCCTGAACTAGGGATTTAAATTGGGATTTAAATCACCCTGATTCAAATCAAGTCCACCCCCGCTAAAAAGGCAAACGACGCAACGACATAGCAGAAAAGAAGGCCGTTTATTATCCCTGAATTGCATTACAATACTGCAGGTAGTTTCACATCAGGAAGACTTGCATTGACCTGTATTCTGCCCCAGACCAACATCTGGCTGGCTGGGGGGTAGGAGTGGGGAAGCTAAATCATGCAGAGGGATCTCATTATTGCTATCGTATTTTATTTACAGTCTAAACACCAAAAGGGAACTGGGGTACCGTCCCAAGTGCAAAATCTACGGGCAGGAAACCAGGCTCTGTGGTTTAGCGAGAGAGAGACACACACACTCACACACACATACTCCCAGCCTGGCATTGCCCATTGGGAAGAGTTCACCAAGGAAATTGTATCTGCGGTACTGGGTGTGGTGCCTTGCGGGTCCATCTGTGTGCTCCCTGTGCGTTAACGGATCCTGAAAGCTGTGCTGGATGGGGACACGGTGACGTGCAGGCATCCGATGCTGACCCGGCGTTCTTTTTTGTGCTGTCTCTGCACGTACCCCAGCGTCCACGAATGTCACACTGCCCTCAACAAAGGGGGCAGGAGAGGTAAAGCAGTTACTGAGCCCTGGAGAAATGGGAAGCGGGGGAACAAAAACACACTGGACCTCGCCATCCTCTCGAAGGAGTAGGAAAAGTTCTGGATGGGATGTCAAGATTCGGTGAAGATACCCTGCAATGGTAAACTAGCATTCTCGAAATCAATGCAGTGTGTGTGTGTGTGTGTGTGTTTGTGTGTGTGTGTGTCCCTGGCCTACCTTGAAGGGCTAAAACCTGAGGCTCGTTTGAGTGGGAATTAAAAACATCCAGCATTCTTTCTGGGAACAGTTTACAAGCTCCTGAAATCTCAGTAGGATGGATGAGTACATTGGTCATACAACAGACTCGTCCACATGGGTTATGAAAAGCTTCTAACAATCTGCCCCCAAACACCCGAGGGTTGGCTGGGGGCTCCACAGCATTTCCTTTCCCTTTTGGTGTGGTTTTAGTCCAACGGGAACACGGCCCATCCGATCCGTTTATGGTTCGAGGTGTTGTGTGACACCTGACGATGGTTTAATACAGTATCCTGGTTAAGGGTTTGACGCCAGAAGAGGTATCCGCAGACGGACGTTCCATTTTCTGCGGAGAGGTTGAAATCTAACCCTGGCTTTCACCAAAGACGGTTCCTGCATTCCTATAACATACGACGCCAGGGTGTGTGTCTACCACATTATGGCTTAACATAGTGGCCTGGTTCATGTACCCTGATGAGGCTATATCTCAGTTACCCCAACACATTAAACTATAAACTAAAACGTTTCCCTGTCTAGTTGTGTCCGACTCTACGCAGCACGGGGCCCATCTCCGTGTCTTGGCCGAGGGAGCCAGTGTTGTCCGAAGACTATTTCCGTGGTCATGTGGCCAGCATGGCTACGCGCCAAAGACACACGGAACGCAGTTACTTTCCCACCGAAGTGGTACCTATTGATCTACTCGCATTCGCATACTTTCTACAAAACTACAAACGGCCTGTCCCTATTTTGATCCAGGCGGCTATGTTGTGCGACCCACCAGCTCAACGCTTGAATGGCTGGGAAGTTCACACAACCTGGTGTGCAGCGGGCGCTGTGTTTTGAGGAGCAGGAGGGAGGAGGGCGAGGAGAACAGGAACACAAAATGAGAACAGTGACTACGTTCGTACAACGTACTTATAACCTGATCCGTTAAAAGACCCTGCGGATCAATTTGCAATTCCGAGTTGGCTGCGGAATAAAGTCTTGACTAGGCTTTTATGATTTAGTAGTGCATTGCTGACAGCCACGCCTGGGAAGACAAGATGGCGAAGGTGAGAGACTATAGGAAGAAAACCCAGTTTTGTGTCCACTGTTGGTCATGAAATGAGCTGTTGGGTTGACTTGGGGCAAGCCAAGCTGCCTTACTCCAAATTATCTTGCGGCTCGAGGTGATTTTTCTTGTTTTACTTCTGAATAATACAATAGCAGAGTTGGAAGGGACCTTGGAGCTCTTCTAGTCCAACCCACTGCCTAGGCAGGAAACCCGTTTCAGACTAAAATTCTAATCCAAGAATCTTCTTCAACTCTGGTGGGGAATGGAAGGGAATGACTGAGACTTTCTCGCTACAGACTTTCGCAGCCTGGTGGTTATGGAGCAAATACAGATAGTCCTCGACTTACGGCCATGGTTGAGCCCCAAATTTCTGCCACTAAGCGAGACGGTTGTTCAGTGAGTTTTGCTCGGTTGTACGACCTTCCCAGCCGCAGTTGTTACATGAATCACTGCAGTTATGAAGTTAGCCACATGGTTGTTTAAGTCACACTGACTTTGCGGGTTAGAAGGTCGCAAAAGAGGATCGCATGACCCCAGGATAACGCAACTGTCACAAGTACATGTCAGTTGCAAAGTGTCTGAATTTGGATCACATGGCCAGCGGGAATGCGTGCAATGGCCATACGGTCGTAAGTCCCTTTTTTCGGTGCTGAAAATTGTCACTAAATGAATGGTCATAAGCTGAGGACTACCGGTGTCTCTGGATTTCCAGTCAAGTTTTGACTGCAGTGGCCTTGAACCCCAATTTTTATGGAGGGTGTGAACCTGAGGTCACCCCAAACTTGACTTTCCTTCACTCACCCAGGGACATTTATTTATTTCCTTGTTTCTCAAATTAAATTTATAAATTTAAGGTAAAAGTAAAGGTTCCCCTCGCACAGATGTGCTAGTCGTTCCCGACTCTAGGGGGCGGTGCTCATCTCCATTTCAAAGCCGAAGAGCCAGTGCTGTCCGAAGACGTCTCCGTGGTCATGTGGCCGGCATGACTCAATGCCCCCGAAGGCGCACGGAAGGCTGTTCCCTTCCCACCAAAGGTGGTTCCTATTTTTCTACTTGCATTTTTACACGTTTTCTAACTAGGTTGGCAGAGGCTGGGACAAGTAACAGGAGCTCACTCCGTTACGCAGTGCTAGGATTCGAACTGCCAAACTACCTACCTTTTTGATTGACAAGCTCAGCATCTTAGCCATTGAGCCATCACGTCCCTGATGTTACAGGTAGTCCTTGACTTATGACCTACTGTTCAGAGTTATGACCTACCTGAAAAAAAGGAGACTTATGACCTGGATAGGAAGTTTTTTAAAAAATATTTTTATTTCTCCAATATAAACATACATTTTTTTATAGACAGTGCATTGACTGGGTCAAATCTTTTTTTTAAAATGATGATGATGATGATGATGATGATGATGATGATGATGATGATGATGATGATGTGGTTAACAGCAGGTACATTACAGAAAGAAACAGAGTCA